TTAGCGTATTTTTATATGCTTAACTTTCTCGCACTTATATATTTTCTGACTTATTTATTATTCGGATGAATTCATTGTACTTTAATATTTTATTATCCATTTTCAGCAATTTGAAGAATATTTAGAGATGTCAATGGATAGGACCGTGATGTCGCGTAATCCGCCTGAAAAGAATTTATTGGGGGCCGAGAAAAAAAGTGATTTAAGCTTAATATTATTGGGCCCAAAAAGTGTAATTAAATGGAGGTAAATGTTTGGCAGAGGACTTATTTGGTCAGGAAAAATAAAACATGACAAGGAGATTTGGTGGGCAAAGTAATTAATTACCCAATGTTACTTGGAAAGAAGACTCCACGCACGCACCTAAGGTAAAAAAAAAATCAAGCAGACACACAGGATATTTATTATACACACGCAGAAAGAAAAGCCTCAGCAGCCACACATAAGGAAAAGAGAGAACGGAGCAGAGACGCGAGAACTGACGAGGAATCCGGCAACCGCGGAGGGAGGCCGCACCAGCACACGAAAGAGGATAATTCTATTCTCTTTCTTTTATTATTTATTTTATTAGTATGTTAGAGTAGTTATTATTGTAGTTCCGGGGAAGTTGAACCCTAAGACTCGACGAATGTTTGATTAATTTTCTGGTTGATAATTTCACTGTCTTTTGGAATTGTTTGTGTTATTTTGAATAATTAACCCTGATTTGTTGAGTCTTGTTTAGCTTGATCACCTAGACTAGGCTTTTCATTTCTACTGCTAGATTCAAACTGTCAATCCGTAATTGTTGATATGTTTAATCAATTAGAGGCTACCGGAAGATGGTAACTACCGGGGATAACACAACCTAAGTAAGTGAATGAAAATTTCGCTACTTAGTCTAGCCTATTTTTCTAAATCGTAAAGCGGCTAATTGAATTAAATTTAGGAAGCGTTTCCTAGACTGTTCAAGAGGTCAGATTTAATCGTAGAGCGTCTCGCGGTTAAATTAAAAATAAGAAAAAATTCGGGTAACAGCCCGTGGCGTTATCTAGGGCTAGTAATTTCATAGATAGCGAGGTTTGATACCAGAATTAATTAGACGAGTCGGTTGAGGGTGTAGACGGAACCCTGAACTAGAAGTCTTCCCATAATTTGATAAATTATCTTTTTTTGCTGCATTTGATTTTATTTTGTTATTTTTATTTTCGTAGTTTATTGTCTCTTATCAAAACCCCCCCTCTTTTATTGTTTTTATATTTCAATTAATACGAGAAAATTCACAATTTGATTCACACTCCCTGTGGGATCGACCCTTGCTCGCCACTACTACTAGTTAGTAGAAGTTAGTTAAGGAAAATATAATTTTTAATTTTGCCGCGTTGCGACGCGCGGTCATCTAATTAGGTTAAACTAATTATACGGTCCAATAATAGAAGAATGTAAAATATCCTCACATCCTAGTGTGTGGTTTCTAGCCTGTTGTTAGCTAATTTTGGCGGTTGAGGGGCTATAAGTTGTTTTAGTCCTGATAAGTGTTCGTTTTCTTTTCCTATCGAGTTGTTGTATCCAGTTGGATGCTCGGTTGTACAACGGTTATTTGAGCTTTGCAATATTATTTGTTATAGTTCCATGAAAAAAAAAAAAGAAATGATCATATTTATAAGAATTTACAAAATTTCATTACTTAAAGTCGATTTTTTTTTTCAAATGTTAAATTATATGACCTTTTCGAATTCCTTTTTTAGAGCATCCGATCGGTGGGTTATTTTTCCCCGTTTAAACGCTTCCCCTTTTGTTAAACCAATGCCTGGATGTTCATTCAAATGGGGCCCATGTCTTTGTTCAATTCATTGAATGTTATTAATCTGATTTTTCTTTTCCTCTTTTTTAATAAAATCATATTTTATTTACGCATGTGTACTATAGCATGCTTTTGTTTTTTTTTTTGTTTTGTTTTAAAATAATTATTTATTTATTTTTTTTTTTATTTTGGTTTTTATATTTTATTTATTTTTTATCTATATCACTTTTCAATACAGTAAATTCAAATTTTATTTATATCACATTTCCCAACATGTATCAATAATTTAAATTTTCTATTCCCATTTTTTGCTTATAAATACACTTCAGTTTAGCACTTCTTTTGCATCAAATAATTTCGCACTTCTCTTACACCAGAAAATTTAGCAACTATTCATTTGCCTAAAATTTATTGTTATAATTTAAAAGTATTAAAATTTATTTTGATTGTGGATAAAATATAAAAAAGTATATTGAATGAGTGTACAACGGGTCCTACATATGTATTTAAATAAATGGGTATGAATGTAAGTGTGTGTTTAAATGGACAGAGATTTATTAAAAAAATGAAATGGATGAGAGAGAGTGTAACTTTTTGATTGAACGAACGAAAATTTTGTTAAACCAATGTCAGGATGCCCTTAGCAAAAGGAGAAAGTCCATGCTTTTTTATGTGGTGGTTTTGACTTTTGATTTCTCATCCCCCACTCATCAAACTCTAATAAATATAAAATATAAAAAAATTTATATTATATAAATATAAATATAAATAATAATAAGAAGAAACACATTTGTTTGTTGTCTATAATTCTCACCAATCTTGGATCAGAGTTGGATTATATTCCAGACTACGTCGACACCTTCCCTCTCCGGTTAGTTTTCTTTTATCAGTTTCTTCTGAGTTTCTTCCGTTTTCTGTATACATATCACGTCAATGGTGATCAAGTATCACGCTTGAAGTCTTCACTTCGTCGATTTTGAACAGATATTTGTGATACACTGCTCTGTTCATCAGTGGCTTTCTGATTTGAAACTGTTTGATGATAACGATTTTCCATGCTGTTGTTCTATATCCATCATACCTGTTGTTGATTGATTTATTTTTTTGATTGAAGTTTGTTGAGATGCATATTAATTTGCATTCTCAATGGAATTGGTAGTCTAATTTTGTGATCAGATAATGCTGATGGTTCTCCTGAAATAGAAGGCTTGGTGTTCTTAGCTTTGGGGCTATGAATATGTGTCTTTTTCTTAATTTATGCTGATTAATCCTCGATACGAGTTTGGGACTATGACACACCTAGGAGTGTAGTGTAAAACCTTTCTGCAACTTAGGTTTAATTAAAGCCTTAAACATTTCTTAGGAGATGGTAAAAGAGAATGTTTGTTTGTCATATATAAGTTATGGGTTGTCATGATGGGTGGTTTCTTTGAAATGGAATACAGTTTGCGTTTCTTTATTTGCAGGAAAGATGTTTGAGAATGGATTTGATGGAGGAGAAGGGGAGTCGGCGTTGCATAGTGACAAGGTACGCCTTTGACTTGATCACATTTCTATGTTTTATAAGCTATTGCCAGATGTTGAATTCGTCTCTGTATTTTTACAAGATTTAAAAGTAAATATAATCAGCAATCACAGTTTTAGACAGCTTTAAGTATTCACTTTTCTTTCTCCCAACCATGACAATTCTATGACATTCCATTTAATCAGATACAGCTGTAAAACTTTGGACTGAAAGTATTCTACACTCAAGAATAGTGTGATTATACTTTATCATGTGCAAGTTCTAACTTGTAATAATTGACCCTTGATCCTTTTGTGGGCTTCCATGATTGCTTTCTGAGGTGTTTAGCCACTTGGATTGTCATTGTTGTTGATATTAACGGTCTTCACTTATTTCCTCTTCTATTGATTTTCCTCTACTTTTCGACCTGAAGTTCATACTTTCTTATAATGTTTTCCAGGTCAAAGTTGATCCAGGGTCACCTCCATCTTTGACATGGAGAAGAAAACTCAGTACTGATGACAATGCCCTTTCTGAATTCGACCTAACCTTAAGAGAGAAAATCAGTTTGGTATTCTCTTGAACTTGTTCCATAGTTATTATCTGTACAGTATCATGCAAGTCATTCCATGACCCTTACAATAATGGAATTTATCTCCGGTTTTATTATTTTCATGCATACGTGTAAGGAGATTTTAGGAATTTGTAAACAGTGGCTAGGGCCTCTCGTATGTTAGTGCCTCTGTTTTTCCTTGCTGTTTCTTTGTTATACCTCCTTTTTGGTTATTGTAGGCACCTATAGGTTATAGACTTTGGCGTCAACTTCGAAAGGAAAAAGTGACATGCAGGGTAAATGTTCCTGCTAACGACTTCGGAAATTGGATGGATTGATGCCTGTGTGAATAATTTGATGTTCTCTTGTTAGTTTTCTTGCAGGAGGTATTTGTTGATCCTTTTACGAAGCGCCATACATCATCTTGCCATGGGGTTCCTGTAGGTGGTATGGGGTAAGTTCATTGTTACCCTATTTTTTATTCTTTCTGTCTTTTTTATTGTTCTTTTTTTTTTCCCTGTTCAAAACATATAGATTTAAAATTGCTGGTGAATTTCGTAAAACTTTTCAGAAGAACCTTCGGCAATGTTACATGCTAATAATACATTCTATCATGAAATCCTATAAAAGGAAGCCTTATATTTTATCTCAATAGCTAGGTTGTTGACAGTGTTGGTATGGAATTATGTTTTATGGATAACGTATTCCAATATGTGCCTACTTGTAGCTTCCATCCCATTCACCAAACCATTTGAAAGAGTTGGCAATTGGGTGGGGGTTGACTCAGAAGATACCTTCAAGTTCCCCCAACATTTTTCGTTTTCTGAATATGATTTTTCAGTCAATTGAGGAAAAGCAGCTTTGTGTTGCTGCTTATATGTTTGTTGCTTTGTCTCATGTGATATATTTTCAATTTGTTGTTCTAAACAATTATCTCTGATTGACATGAAAATCATGCTGCATATGATTCCAAATTCAGTCTGGAGAAAAGTTAAAAAACATGGTTTGTCAACAAAATTTAGCTTGATTGTTACGTTTTCAACATCCATTTAATTTTCAAACACAATTTCCAGTGCCGGTAGCATTGGAAGAAGTTGCAAAGGTGAATTTTTGCGTTGGCAGCTGTTTCCTAGGATGTGTGAAGATAAACCTGTCTTGTCGAACCAATTTTCTGTAAGTTGGATCCTGCTGTGAACTTCTGTGTTTATTTGACTTGAAAGCTACACTCGGGATTTACAATGCATATCAGTTGTTATTGCATACAAAACGTAAGAGTGCACCGGTGGGATTTACAATGCAACACAATTCGCAGCTTCTTTACATTTCTTGGAAAGTAATATTAAGTACCACATATGTTTACTATCATATGATATTAGAACATTTGGCCAAGTAAATTTGTTAAACATATATGTCAATAGATAGTATGTGTCAGCAAGAGAAAATATTCCAATTTCAGAAGTCTGGTCTATATTTGTCCATCGATGACGGATACAATGAATCACTCAACACCTATCTACGTTTACAGGTCTTTGTGTCACGACCAGATGGTAGCAAATTCTCTAGTGTACTCTGCCCGAAGAACCCAGAAGTCCTAAAGTATGAACATAGTCTACTTTTTCTTTCTTTCTTTCTTTCTTTCTTTCTTTCTTTCTTTCTTTCTTTCTTTCTTTCTTTCTTTCTTTCTTTCTCTCTCTCTCTCTCTCTCTCTCTCTCTCTCTTTCTCTCTTTCTTTCTTTCTTTCATTCTTTCTTTCTTTATTTCTTTCTTTCGAGCTTCTTTTAGTCATGATAAGATGTTATGCCTTGTAAAAAAATACTTTTCTTAGTGTATCATTCAATTTCCCTTTACGACTGAGTAGTTAAAGGTACGAAAGATATGAAATTCTCGGTGTACAGTTTTGTTTCTTGAAAGTCAGTGATCTGTGTGTCTAAATAAAGGGATAACAGTGACAGTTCGGCTTCTGGGATAGGATCTTGGGACTGGAGTCTAGATGGACAAAATTCAACTTACCATGCATTGTTCCCTAGGGCTTGGACCGTGTATGATGGTATTTAGTATTCCAATATTCTCTTACTTAAGTGCCTCTTCTCATGAATCTTTACATCATTGAATATATTTTTCGTTCTATGGAATGAAGGTGAACCCGATCCAGCTTTAAAAATAGTGTGCCGTCAGCTTTCACCCTTCATTCCTCACAACTACAAGGAGAGCAGCTTTCCTGTGGCAGTCTTTAGTTTTACAGTATGATCAACTTCTCTGGACTCTGTTCATGTTCCCTTTCTTTTACACTTAAAAACACGTGCACGAACGGAGGTCATAGGGTCTAAGTAGGCTTGTTGTGTTTGTGACAGTTATCTAATTTGGGAAAGATGGAAGCAGATGTCACCTTGCTCTTTAGTTGGGCAGTAAGTTTCCTTTCTTAGGTTTTTTCTTTCTTTCTTTTGCTTTTTTTTTTTTTTT